TAATTAAAACACCTAGCTGAACTGGCTTTTGTGTATTCACATCTAGAATAAACAACTTTTTCATTTCTCCATTCCAGGGCTTTAGAGCTGTATTGTTGTAGAATATTATTTAAGATGTGTTACTTTTATGTTGCATTTGTTTAACTCTGTGAAGCTGTGTTACTGTGCCTGTCTAAAACACCTGATGGTCTAATAAAGAACTGAACTGGCCAATAGCAAGGCAGGAGAAAGGATAGGCAGAGCTGGCAGGCAGAGAGGATAAACAGAATGAGAAATATGGGAGAAAAGAAGAAGTAGCCAGAGAAGGAGAAGGACTCCAGGGGCCAGGCACCCAGCTACACAGCAAGCCATGGAATAAGAGTAAGATTTAAAGAAGTAAGATAATAGGAAAAGCCCAGAGGCAAAAGGTAGATGGGATAATTAAAGTTAAGGAAAGCTGGCAAGAACCAAGCCAAGCTAACGCCAGGCACTTATAATTAAGAATAAACCTCTGTGTGTGATTTATTTGGGAGCTGGGTGGCGGGCCCCCAAAAAGTAAAAAACCCCAACAACAATGTATGTTTCTCTAAGGAACAGTATAAGATAAAATAATAAAATATTACTGTCTCAAGCAGCAGTGGTTAAATTTGGGGGGTTCATTATCTCTTTTCTAATCTAATCGAAGTTATGAATTCTTACTGAGCACAGCGGCATGCATCTGCACTTCCAGCACTTAGGAGGTGAAGCCAGGACTTCAAGGTCATCCTCTGGGGCACACAGTGAGTCTGAAGCCAGAAGGGCAACATGGGACTCTGTCTCAAAATAATTATGAGCTCTTTCCAGAAAAGTGGCTGTCATACAATTTTTCATTACATTTTGGGGATCCAAGACCCTTCTGAAGTCTTTCGTAGTCCAGTCCTGAGGTTATAACACCTTAGACTGGATAAGACTCAACTTTATTTTAACCACATATTAGTAGTAATATGTCAAGAGAGATGTAAGTAGCATTATCTATACTACATTCAAGTTAATATTTTACAGAGTCTCCCTGAGTAAGTGGCTGTAATATACTCACAAAGCTGCAAAGTGACTAATATATATGCTTGCAGTATTACTGCGGAGCTAGGATTAAGTACAGCAAAATATTTTTGAATTATGGTTTAATGGGCATTCCTATTCATCTTACAGATATTCATGGAACTCTGGCTCTGTAATAGGAATTGTGCTCAGCAATGAAGCCAAAAGATCCACAAAAGCTTATACTTTGCTCTATGAAAGCAAGTAAAGAAAGGATGGGTAATACAATTAAGTAAAGGGAGCCGAAAGACTAATAAGGAGACTGGAGCTGCAGAAATGACTTAGGTAAAGTAAAGTGCTTGCTGTGCAAACAGGAGGGTCTGAATTTGGATTCCTAGCACTCATGTAAAAATCCTGGCGTGGGAGCATATCTACTCCTAACACTAGGGAATCAAGGACAGGAGGATCCCTGGAGCTAGCCCTCCAGTTAGTACTGTCAAATTCATCAGCTCCAGGTTCAGTGAAAGAACCTTTCTCCAAAAGTAAAGTGAAGAATGAAAAATATACCTAACATCCACCTTTTACATTCATATACATGTGTACACACCCACATATGCATCTATCTTAGTCTGCTTTCTATTACTGTGAGAAAACACTATGACTGAACACAGCGTGGGAAGGACAGGATTTATATTGATTACATAACCTGAGTCACTGAGGGAAGCAAAGATAGGAACTCAAGTAGGCCAAGAAGCTGGAGGCTGGAACTGAAACAGAGTCCATGGAGTAATAATGCTGTTTACTGGCTTGCTCTCCATGAGCTGATCAGCTGGCTTTCTTATACAACCAATGACAACCTGCCCCAGGGTGGCACTGCCCACAGTGGGCTGGGACCTTCCACATCAATCATCAACCAAGAAATGTCCCTGAGTCCTGCCTACAGGCCTATCTGATGGATGGATTTTCTCAATTTTCCCTCTTCTTAAATGACTCTAGGTTGTGTCAAGTTGATAAAAAATTAACCAGCACAACCTACACACACACACACACACACACACACACACACACCTTTAATGTTAACCCCCACCTTCTTAACAAGATTATATTTTTTAAATGGTTATATTGTATTTACAGTACTTTGATGAGGTAAGTGGAATTACGTACTGCAATATGGTTTGGCCTTCTACATTTTGTGTGAATATTTGTTTATCTGTGCATATCATTAATTTAAATGACAATACCTAAATCCTATCCAGTAGATGTGAGTTTTCTTCAGTGATGTTCAACATATTTGCTATTCTGTCCATTTTTGTCTTCCTGAAGAACTCTATTTCTGAACACCCTGTCCTGGCTGCCCTCTAGTCTGGTAGAGGTGCTGTTGGGCTGTGACTACCTTTAGCAACTTAGGATTCCTTTTGCTTCTATTCTGTCTTAAACGATCTTTTTTGACTATTTCTTTTTTTTTAGATTAGTTGGATAATAAATTATCATCTAAAAATCATTCCAGAAAATAATTCTTATGATTTTCTTTGATGTTATTTTTCTATAATCCATTTTACAGCTTCTTTAGCAAGAGTCCCGTAGACACTTTTTTGAGTGCTTGAATCAAAGAATTCTACCTTAGAAGTCTTCCTTAAGAGTTTTCAGATCATTAATTTCTTGTCTTCTTGCTTACACTATAGCCATTAAGAAGCTGAAAGCCATTGTTTGAACTGGGACCTCACTTTGTTGCCTAGACATGTGATTCTCTTGCTTTAGCCTCTCAAGTAGCTGGAATTGCAGTTGTGCATCACCATGCCCAGGGGGAAATGTTCCCGTCTTGATTCTTGTTCCTTTATTGCTTCTTTATTGAAAATCTTCTTTTTACGTTGTAACTGTTTTGTTTTTAATGTGCCTTAGTGAGTACCCATTGCAGTTCACTATTCTACTCACACAGTGGGCTATTCCATTTGGAATACATGTTCTGATCTATAAAAGTTTTCTTGCATTATTTCTTTTATTATGTTGATCTATTTTTTTCTCTTCTACTTTGCTAATAATGCCCATTACTTGGATACTGAGACTCCTGGATATATGGTTATTGCATATTGACAGATCAGATCACATGTATTATGACGGCTCTATAAAATTTTAATGAAGTTGAAAAGTCCTGTTGCCTAGTGATGAAGCCATAAAAACACTATAGTACATTGCACTACGGGCATGGTTTTGGTGACACTGGTGTGAACAAACTCACTGAATTGCCAGATCTATGAGAGTACAGCATATGTAGATAGGAGATAGTATATGTGTATAGTACTGCACAATGATGAGTGACTGTTGCTAGCTGATGTGCATACACATAATTTTAATTATGCTTTTATAGTTCTTTTTTCTTTTTTTTAAGGTTTTATTATTTATGTATATGAGTGCTTTAGCTGCATGTACAACTTTATACCAGAAGAGGGCATCAGATCCCACTAGAGATGGTTGTGAGCCACCATGTGGTTGCTGGGAGTTGAACTCAGGACCTCCTGAAGAGCAGGCAGTGCTTGCTCTTAACCACTAAGCCATCTCTCCAGCCCTAATTGTGCTTTTATAGCACATTCCTCTACTAAAAACATTTCATTGTAAAACAGTATGCCATGCTTTGCTGGAAGCCGCTAAATACATTCATGTTTACAACATTTCATGAGATTCTTTTAACACCTAGAAGCCTCAATAATAATCAAATTGCCATCTCAGTTTGTGTAAGTATACTCTACCATGTCTGTACAATGATGGGATTACCTAATGATGCAGTCTTCAGAGTACATGCCACTAAACAACGCCTGGCTACATCAGTTTTCATTGGGTGGCTTAACCAACAAGAATGTATTTCTCGGCTGGGCAGTGGTGGCACATGCCTTTAATCCCAGCACTTGGGAGGCAGAGGCAGGCAGATCTCTGTGAGTTCGAGGCCAGCCTGGTCTCCAAAGCGAGTTCCAGGAAAGGCGCAAAGCTACACAAAGAAACACAAAACAAAACAAAACAAAGAATGTATTTCTCACAGTTCTAGAGGCTAAGAAGTTCAAGATCAAAGTGTTGGCTATTTTAGTTTCTCCTGAGGCTTCTGTCTGCAGATGGCTGCTTACTGTATCCTCTTAGGGTCTTTCCTCTGTGTTCTTCCGTCCCTGGTGTCTTTTCAAACCAGTTGGACTGCACAGGCAGGTCCCACACTAATGGCTCACTTTAATTTAGTCACTTCTTTAAAGTATTTGTCTCCAAACATAGTCACAATCTGAGATACTGGGGTTAGAGTTTTAGTGTATGAGTCTGTGGAAGACATAGTAACTTTCTTTGTCTAACCTGGATATTTTGCTTTCCTTTTTTTTTTTTTTAATTTTTAATTTTCCTTTTGGAAGGTTTCTTCCAAATAAATATTCTTATTAACTTTTTGTTTCTAATGACACAACTAAAATTACTGTAATTCTTGTTTTTAAAGTTCTTCAGAAAAAATATGCCTTGTTTTTGTTCTTAGGGATGTAGTATAGTTTCTGCTCAGTAAAATAACTATAGTTGGCTTCTTTTCTCTAAGTTATACTCTCCCTACATAGTCTCTGTTTCCTCAAAACGGTTAATTTTCATTTATTTATTTTGGCCCTTGCTATAGTCTGAATATATTCCCTCAATTCATACTTTGTAACTTAATCCCCAATTCAAAAATTATAGAGAAGTGGGTGGGGGAGGTCTTTTGAGAAGTATTTAGGTCGGGATGGCCCTGCCCTCTTGAATGGATTAATGGCACCAGAACAAGTGGCTTTGAAGAATAAGATACAAGAAGGCCCGGGGGGGGTGGGGGGGGCTGGAGAGATGGCTCAGCGGTTAAGAGCACTGGCTGTCCTTCCAGAGGTCCTGAGTTCAATTCCCAGCAACCACATGGTGGCTCCCAACCATCTGTAATGAGATCTGGTGCCCTCTTCTGGCATGCAGGCAGAACATTGTATACATAATAAATAAAATCTTTAAAAAACAAAGAACAAGCCTTAAAAAAACAAAACAAACAAGCCTTTATTCCCAGCACTCCGGAGGCAGAGGCAGGCAGATCTCTGTGAGTTCGAGGACAGCCTGATCTACAAAGCCAGTTCCAGGAAAGGTGCAAAACTACACAGAGAAACCCTGTCTCGAAAAACAAACAAACAAAAAATGTAGGTGTTTAAAATACATCTGTAAAATCCTTTGAACACATTTCATGTATTTCAGAATCTGTCTGTTCTAGTTTCTAAAGTGAAGTAAACAGTTTTCACTGCTTGTATGCATACAATCAACCCCTTTTGAGAGCTTGTTTGGAGGTTCTAGCAGGGGAGCGCAGCTACTCGTATACCCTTGACCGAAGACCGAAGACTGGTCCTCCTCTATTCGGGGAAGGTCATCCTCTTCGACCGAGCGCACAGCTTCGGGAGGGACGCACATGGAGCGGTGAGGGAGGAAGGGGACACCCACCTAGCCAGCCAGATCAGCCGAATCAACCCTGGCGATCAATGGGGTGACAGATGTCGCAGCCAGATCGCCCTCACATCCTCAACCCCTTTTGAAATACAGGCAAAGCTGGGCAGTGGTGGTGCACACCTTTAATCCCAGCAGTCAAGAGCCAGAGCCAGGTGGATCTCTGTGAGTTTGAAATACAGGCAATGGTGACCACAAGTTTGGTATCAAAATGCAGGAAGAAGAAACTACACCACAAACACACACACACACACACACACACACACACACACACACACACACACATTTCCAGATAGAAAAACTATTGTGTTTTCAAATTTAATAACAGCATTAACACTATGTTCAAGAGCTCTGGGATACAGGGCTGCATGGAGGCCTTTGGCACAAGTATATGAGAGGTATGAGGGAAGCTATCAAGTAGAGTGGAAGCCTGAAAAGGGATCTCTGCTTTAAATGATTAATTCTAATGTAAGTGAATAAATTCACTATGATGACGGGATGAAGGGAATTACCATTTTAACTATACCCTGTACATTGTGTAGCACTGGCTGGCCTGAACTGGAGATCAGGCTAGCCTCAAACTGAAATCTACCTGCTTCTGGTTCTTGAGTGCTGACATTACAGGTGGGCTCCACCACATTCAGCCAGAGACACTGTTAAAATCTAAATTTATCTCTTCTCAGCCTCTTGAATAAGATCATGCAAAAACCTAAGTTCTGGGAGCTTGGACCAGAACTACTTATGTGCCTATAACTGATTAATGATGATAGGTCTTTGTTCATAAGATTTCTCTGAAACACACTGTGATTAAGTCAGATAATATTTCAAATTTTCTTTTATTCTTCAGACATACTTAAGAATTGTTGCCAGGTGGCGGTGGTGCATGCCTTTAATCCCAGCACTTGGGAGGCAGAGCCAGGCGGGTCTCTGTGAATTCGAGGCCAGCCTGGTCTACAGAGCGAGATCCAAAAAAAATTGTTTAGGCATGGGAATAGCTCTCAAGTACTGCTTATAAATTTATACTGGCTTTGAATCTACTTTCAGTTAGATAAGGCTATCCTATACAGCAATGCCTGGTTCTTCTCTGGGAATAAAGCAATATTGTGGGCCCTTACAAGCTCAAGCAGCAGCATGAAGCTAAAGGAACTTGCTTTCAAAGGGGCCAATGAAATACAAATGTCAAAACATTAATGAGGTAACTGGGCTCTGTCCTGTATAATGTGACCATTTCCCACCCTATTCATTGGGTGCATTTGCAGCCTATGAATTTGATTCATCAGATGTCAATTCCTGAGTTTACTTCTTTCACTAGTTAAAAAAAAATGTAAGCTGGAGCAATTCAATCTCTTGGAAATTTGGAACCGTAAAATTTGAGTAAACTAATCAATATTGGGGATCAAAGCTATGGGCTCACAATATAGGGGTCCTGTTTTAAAAACATATAGAATGGAAGAGTTTCCATTTAGGAGGAAATAGGTACCAAGACTCTCACTTTACAGTAGGGGAAGGGAAGTTCCTGTTATGGATTGAGACTGTAGAACACTTTACCCGATTTCTTTACACTTCTTGAATCCTTGCTACTTCCTAAGAAATCGTTAACTGTCTAATATAAATTCCTGGTACTTGCTATCTAGTCATCTACTCATCCACATTCCTCTTCTTTCAATCCTGTCTTCCTCCCTTTCATCCATCTATCCACATCATTTGTCCTATTTCCACTCAGAATCTGAGGCATATTTACTCTAATATTTAGATTTTCACAAACTTCTAAAGACTACCTCCAAATCCTAGGAAATATTTTGATTTTAGAATGCAAGGATTAGGAGCAAATCTGTGGCTTATTTTATCTCATTGTGTATCACATGACAATAATTGAGTTCTACCCACATTTTCACAGGGCTTGTAGCTGTAGGTATCCAAAGAAACAAAATACAAAGATTACCACTCCCTGCCCTAATTCGGCTGAGGGTAACAATACATTTTGAATTTTGTATCTATTAGGCCTCAGTAGATAAATTTAGGAAATATAAATACAACTTTTGAGCTTTGCTATTAGACCATTAAAGAGAATTCAAATAACAATGTTAGTATCTGACATTGCTGTAGCTTTTTACAGTTTACAAATAACTTGCACATTTTACTCAATGCTTGGAACCTCTGAATAAAACATTAATTGTATTTCAGTAAGAAACCTGGCTTAGTGAATTAAGCAACACAGGCTGAGATATACTTTTAAGGGATGGGGGTGGAGACTTAAACCGAACCTCAAACAGATTAAGCACTTGCATTACTTTCTTATTGCTGTTGGTAATAATTGTCCCAAATACAGTGAATTAAAACAACATAAACATTTTTACAATTCTTTAGAAGTGAGGTATAGGGTGATCATAGAATGTGTTTCATTCTAGAGGGAGAATGTATGTTTAGACTTTTAGAATTGGATTCCTTGCGGTTTTAGGATTGAGGTCATCAGTTTCTAGCAGGTTGTAAACTGTTTCTAGCTTATGGATGCTTCCATGTTCCTTGGTTTCTCCTTCCCGTCTTCAAAGCTAGCAAAGTGGATTGAGTCTTCACATTGCATCTCTCTGGGATGCATCTCTCAAATCACATTAGTTATGACAAAAATAACTGACAAAAGCAACTTAAGGGTGATCTGATATTACAGCAAAAAAGTGAAAAAAAAAAAGATATTTGAGTCCAACCAGGAATGGAACTTAGTTAAGTAAGAGTTATCTTTTATAGTAGAAATGGTGAAGAGTCACAGTGATGAAGATGATAGAGATAAGGAATCTCTTTTGTTGTCTGATTATCCATCCCCAAACTACCACCTTAAAACAAACACTGCCCACAATTTTATACAGCTATGTGAGAGGTACTCAGCTAGGTTCCTCTCGGTTGCATCTGGTGTCATTTAGAGCAGCTGGCACCTCAGGATCAGTCGTCTCAGCCTTTTTTGGGGGGGGTTTCAAGACAGGGTTTCTCTGTGTAGCTTTGTGCCTTTCCTGGAACTCACTCTGTAGCCCAGGCTGGCCTTGAACTCAGAGACCCACCTGCCTCTGCCCCCGAGTGCTGGGATTAAAAGTGTGCGCCACCACCACCCGGCTTCATCTCGGTCTTAGAGCCTACGAGAATGGGCTTTTCCAGCATGGTGTTATGGGGGTGGGGTTATCTTACATGGCATCTGGCCATCTAAGAGTTAAGTGCTCCTAAAGGACATGGAAGATGCTAGGACAATGACAGGGACAATTAGGAACTGCTATGTCACATTTACAACATTCTACTGATGCGATCAGTCTCAGAGCCTACCCTAATTCAAGGAGGTAAAATAACTCTATCTCCAGATAGGAGAACTGTAAAGTCACATTACAGAAGAAGATAGAGGAAAACAACAAAAACCAACTGGAAAAAGCCCATAATCCAGTGAAAGAGGGAGCTATAGATAATATCATGATATAAAAAGAACACAAGCACTGTTAGGGCAATACAAACAAAGCTCAGCCCAGGCATGTGGTGCATGCCTGTCTCTCTACTTGAAGCAATCAACAGGCTGAGGTAGGTGGATGGATGACCAAGTTTGAGATTATCCTGAGCTACATACATAGGAAGATCCTGTCTCAAAACAAACAGACATCCCTAAAGAATGAGACCAATAGCACCTTTCTCAATACCACAGGCAGTAACACATTCAGTTGTTCTGAAGCCGATTCTCAGGGACAAGTCACCCATTCTTCGCACCTGTGCTAAAAGTGGTCTTCAGTTTTACATTTATTTCTTAAGCACAAATGAAAGGTTGTGGCAGCAGTGTCCCGGGGGCTCTGGCGCTGCCCCTGGCCTGGCAGCTGTATCTCAAGGACCATTGCATCTCACCTTCAAGAACTGGCCCTTCCTGGAGGGCTGCTTCTGCACTCCAGAGTGGATGGCAGAAAGGCTTTTTTTCTGATTCAAAAAAACTGAAAGGTTGGGAACCAGATAGACGACAACCCCATAGAGGAGCATAAAAAGCTTCACCAGGGTGTGCCTTCCTTATTATCAAGAAGTTTGAAAAACTCACCCTCAGTGAATTTTTGAAACTAGAGAAAGAAAAGCCAAGCACAAAATTGCAAAGGAGACCACCAGCAAGCAAAAAGATTTGAAGAAAGGCCCTCCACACCATTGAGCAGATAACTGCCTTATAATGAGCCCTTGCTGGGACTACCTGGATCTGAGTGATACACCACATTCAAGCCACATGTCTCAGAATCTGGGAGATGGTGGCAGCAGGGGTGAGGATCAGCAAGGGTAATGGAATAAAATCACTTAAGAAGTCAAAACAAAACAAAACAAATGGATACAAACGATATTTTTACCTATATCACCATCAATTTTAGATAAATGTCTTAACTAAATAATTATAATATTTCTAAAATATTTAAGATTAACACCATTGAACTTTTTTGGTTTACAAATTATAGGTTTATAAACACAGGGTGTTAAGACACTTAAATGTATTATAATGGTGAGCTACATATATACATATAAGTGTATATATGAATACACATATATAAAAAGTAATATATATTCTTTCAACTTTAAAAGTATCTCTCTTGACAGCGGAATTTAACTAAAATAAGATTCTAATAGTAGTATTTTCCTTTATATTATAGGTATGTAACTATAGCCAAATGGTTACGCAACACAGAAAAGATACTGAGAATAATCTAATCATTAATACTAAATTCTAGCCATCTTTTACTATTACATAAGTATGCATCATCATATAGAAAATCTGTTCTAAGCAAAGTATCTTTAAAGAAATAGTATTTATATTTTATATTAAGTGCCCTTATTTTACAGATTAGGGACTGAGGCTCCTTTATTGACTCCAGCTCTGGGGACTGACTCCCAAGGCCTTGTACAAACCAGGCAAGTGCTTTATCACTGAGCTACATCCCCAGCTCTCTGAGGGTCAATATACTAGCTTGTGCCAGCAGCACAACCAGAACTGATATAGTCTGGCCAATTTTGACTGCATCTTTTTCCTATTTTATAAATAAATTTTATCATTTTAACTATAATTGGAAAATTATCAAGTAATAAAACTATTTCTTCAGCCAAACAACTCTTTTCATTTCCCCCTTTTTACTGAGCACTGTAAGAACAGGATGTTGTTTGTAACACTGGAGCACTTTCATAGCTTCCAAGAACTTTATCTACAGGACAAAGTTCACTTCACAAATGATTTGATTTAGCTGGAAAAAGCTTATGCAAAAATCATAGCTTTAAAAACTTTTATCTCACAGTGACTTTATACATTGGGAAATAGTTCTCTGTTATCTTGATGTTTTCTTCAGATAGCCAGTTCTTCTGCTGTAGTTGGCTTAAAAGAGTTTCCAAAGACATCAATCTTCCTGGAATTTGTTGCTTTTGTAGCTCAAGAAGAGTGATCTTTGAGTATAGGTTAGAGACATTTTGCCAAAGATGTTCCTTATTTGTATCTTGTCTGTAGTATGAATGTTCAATATGTAAGACTTCAGCACTGTGGTCTACACCCTTATAAAAGGAGTCTTCAATGCCTGTGTCTTCCATTTCCATGGTTTCCTTGGAAGCTGCTATGAAAGAATTAACTGCAGGTTTACAATTTTCTGTGGGTATTAAAATGGCAGTAAAATATTTGTTATTTATGTTTAATTCTTCAACTGTGCTGAAGAGAAATGAATTTTCCTGACCTGACAGTTTCCATGAAATTATTTATAAAGTTTGGATTAACAAGATGGTTAGTAATTATGTCTTCTGAATTTGAAGTTCTCAAAGCAATAGTCGTAGAATTTCGACTCTCAGAAGATGCACAAAATCCAACTACACCTAAATCTTGATTTATTGATGTTTTTAAGGTATCTTGTTTAAGAGGTAATATGTTATTTTGTATGCTTTCTGCTCTTGGAGTTGGTGGCTTCACCAGAGCAGATGAATCAAGTAATTCTGCATGTTCTTGGCAGTACATCTTTGTTACCAGTATTTTCCTTTGCTTCATTTGATGCAATTGATTCTTCAGACTTAACTTTCCAGCACACTTCTTTCTCATCTCCCAATTTTCTCTTCTGAGATTGTTTTTTTTAGAAGTATCTTTTCCCTAGAAAATATTTTTAAATTCTGAAAAAGATATACTTATAGAATCTCATCAGTTATAACTATGTAACTTTAACTTTGAGCAGTACACTGGCCAAACAAACTTATTCAAGCACGAAAGTTCTACTTAAGTATATCTTTTAATTAATTTTTAAAAAGCATTACACTCTTCAATATATGACAAACAGTTTAGGTCTTTCAAATGACCAGTGATTAAAGCATAACCCAATAGCTAATTTTAATACAATGTAAGTATACATATGCTATTTTTGTTGTTTCTTTTTTTTTTTTTTTTGGTTTTTCGAGATAGGGTTTCTCTGTAGTTTTGCGCCTTTCCTGGAACTCACTTTGTAGCCCAGGCTGGCCTCAAACTCAGAGATCCGCCTGGCTCTGCCTCCCAAGTGCTGGGATTAAAGGCGTGCGCCACCACCGCCCGGCTTTTGTTGTTTCTTAAACCGCTTCATAAGTTTAAATTTAAAGAAACTGTCATCCTTTTAGTAGCAGTACAAATTAGTGTTGCTTTTTACTCATGCATCTGTTCTCTCAATGGTAATCTTTCTTACTTTCTCTACTCAAATCACCCTGAAAACTGTCCCTGCAATGTGTCACCCTACTCAGCATTACTCCCTCTCCACTACTTCAAGACCTGACAGTCTTCAGGCAAAGACGATATTGTTGGGATTGCAGTGTGCTTTAAATAACAGATACACCATCTGATGTCAAAAGAGTCAGAAGCAAAATGGTCACTGCACAGGAACCAAGAATCGCACTTCATATTCTTTAACCACTTTTCAAGTCTTTGTCACGTAGAGGAAACCTGAAATTAAAAAAAAAAAAAAGGAAAATAAAAACTCTATGTATTCTTTAAAACTTTGACTAATTCCTGGCCTGCACATTTAAATAATCTATCATTGAGTGTTAAAAAAGCAAGGTAACCATCCCTATCAATTAACAGAATCTCTACAACTATCACCACCCTGTCTGTGCAGTAAGAAAACCAAGATATGGTAAGTGGCCAAAGCTTTCATCTGAGAATAGCTCATAAAGCACTTCAGTGTTCCTTCAACTAAAATGTGTTGCTACAAAGGATAAAATTTATATATACTTCCTATGGGTTATACATTACTATTATATGGCTTGCTAGAAGTAGCAAATAAATGCATAAATTACAAGTTCTCATTTAAACCTACTTTATATAGGATATGTCAAATGGTTTGCTGTCTACAATTTTAGGCAGTATTAACATTTTAGCTTATTTTTAATGTTTTTGAGACAAGATCACTGTGTAGGCCAGACTAGCCTCAATTTCATGATCCTCCTGCCTCATTCTGAGTGCTAGGATTACAGATGTGTACCATCATGCTCATCTTGTTAATATTTAAGAGAGAAGTCAATTGAAACAAATGATTTATCTGAAAATAAAATTACTAATATTCCATTCTCTTTACTACTGGGATTTGCATGAGCTATACTTATGTGCAATTTAGTCCAATGTTTCTAGAGGTTGATATCAATTGATTAGAAACTGTAACATTCAAGTTCTGAAAGAAGAACTCTGATGCAAAAAAGAACTGTGTATGTTTACATGTTCAGCCTCAGTCAACTGTGATGATATATCCTGAAATCCAAGCACTTGGTTGGCTAAAGAAGGAAACATTTTGTTCCTGTATTGACATTCTGAATTTAGGGCTGATTCTAGTATACTGAAATATATTTTATAGACAAAAGTTTATTGATGGCAGTGCCAGAATTTGACAGAAACAAATTTCTATTAGTTTAATAAATTTACAGTACATTAAACAATAGTTGACAATAATTTATATTTCATTAGATGACATTCCAAAAACATAACCAAGGTATATACTATATAATTTCATGTTCCTTTATATAGTTACAATACAAAGCTTCTTACTCAAAACATAGCTTTATACTCTCAATCCCAATTAATTTAGTTTATAATTTGTAAAATTAGTATTTTTTTTCTTCCCTCAAGTTTTGGTAAGTTTGCAAGATCCTGTATGTAGGAAATAACTTTTAACACTGAAAACTTTATGTAGAAAAACCAGATGGGAGTTGTCACCAAATGAAATAATATGTCTTTGGAGAATCTTTCAACCTTAAACATATAAATATATTGGGGTTTTAAGTATGATAGGCATGTAACATGAATCTTAAAAGGTCTTATTAATAAAAACAAACCCGGAGCCAGGTACTGGGGTGAACGCTGAAAGGATCACAGAAACAGAACAGGCCCCATCCAACCTCATCTCGCCAATTTCTCAGCCCATCTTGTTTCCTCAGACTGAAAACCTCTGAATCCTCATCCGAAATGGATCTCAGCTGAACTGCTGCTAAAAGCCAAAAGCTTAACTAACAAGGCTCTAGTTCCTGGTCCTCACGCCTTATATACCTTTCTGCTTCCTGCCATCACTTTCTGAGATTAAAGGCATGTGTCACCATGCCTGTTTCCAGTGTGGCTTTGAACTCACAGAGATCCAGATGGATCTCTGCCTCCTGAATTCTAGGATTAAAGGCGTGTGCTACCACTGTCTAAACCTATGTTTAATATAGTGGCTGTTCTGTTCTCTGACCCCCAGATAAGTTTATTGGAGTGCACAATATATCAACCACATAGGCATAACCAAAAAAAGGTATTTAAAGGCAAAAAGGACACGTTCAAGCTTTTGTTACATTTAAAATGAGAATATACTTTTTACAAATTCATGTAGTATGTAGCATGCAAATAATTTCCTGTACCTACATGCAATGTTGTATAACAAACCTTTATAAGTGTACTTTGTGGATATCTTTATTTACAGTAACTGGATTGCACTACATTTCTGACCTACTTAGCCATGCTCTTTAAGAAATCTTCTCAATTGTTTCCTGAATAATTTCTCACATTGGCTTTTTTTTTTTTTTTTGTATTTTTCACTATCTTCTGTATTTCCTCCAAATTCATAAGACAGCCACATTTCTTTTTGCTGACATGGTCTTTCCTATGTTGCCCAAAGAGGCCTTGAACTCCTAATTCTCCTGCCTCAGCATTCAGAGTGTTGAGATTACAAATTGCACCACCATGCCCTGCCCAGAAAATAAGCTGAACACTAAATGCATACTAATGAAGTACTAGATTCTTAAAAATTGATAGTAGAAAAAATTGAATTCTGAAATTATGCCCTCCATAGGGACCAAAGGTATCTGAAAGATATTTGACTTCAAATCTCAGAGCTAGAGATTATGACATTGGCCTTTCAACTAACCATGAATTAGATTTTTCTTTCTAAATATCACTGCATTTTGTGGAAGGCATTCAAGGAAACCAATCACGGAAATAATGCCATGTCATGTGAATTACTTGGGTTTATAATTTTTTTCACATTATTTGCCTGAACCATTATTGAATAACAGCATCAGGACTAAAGAAAAATGTTAGTCTCAAAATAAATTTGAAGCAAATGAGAAATCAGGGTAGCTCTATCTGGATTACTTTTATTTATTATTTATTGGTTTTTTTGGGACAGGATTTCTCTGTGTAGCTTCTATTTATTTGTTTGTTTTTGGTTTTTCCAGACAGGGTTTCTCTGTGAAGCTTTGTGCCTTTCCTGGAGCTCGCTCTGTAGATCAGGTGGCCTCGAACTCACAGAGATCCGCCTGCCTCTGCCTCCCGAGTGCCGGGATTAAAGGCGTGCGCCACCACCGCCAGGCTCTGGATTACTTTTAAATACAAGGGGGAAAAATGGAAATAGAATTATTTGAACTGAACTGACTTTCATATATATAAATTAAGCACATACTTCAAGTACTGCTTTATCTGTTTACCCATACAGAGAGAAATTTGAGGCGCTGAGAGCTTAAATACTTTGCAAAAGTTACTAAAGTCAGGGAACCAGGGTTTGAACTCAGCAAATCTGGCTTTGGAACCTTGCCTTGGCCTCTGAATGAACTAAGTACTTACATTGTTTCTGAAATATTTCATGCTGTCATTTAGGACAAATTTACCTCTCACGATCTCTGCACTAACTTAAGAGTATAAATATCCTTAAACAAGACACAAGTTTTTAATTCCGGTCTAGCAGAATTTTCGAGGTTGCTCATCATTTTGGGCATCAGTTTTCGCAGGAAAAACCCAGGGTTACATTCCACCTGTGTGACCAACCTCACAGGAACCTCACCTTCCCAATTAGCGACTCCGATGTACTTTAAACGTAGTTAAAGCAAGGAAAGGGGGCGGGGCCACTTCCCCACCTCCGGGCACCGCGCAAACTTTACTGTTTTAAACTTGAAGCCGGGCGGTGGTGGCGCACGCCTTAAATCGCAGCACTCAGGAGGCAGAGCCAGGCGGATCTCAGTGAGTTCGAGGCCAGCCTGGGCTACCAAGTGAGTTCCGGGAAAGGCAGAAAGCTACACAGAGAAACCCTGTCTCAAGGCATCAAGTACAGTGGACTCAAGCCTTTGGGGGAACTGAGGACTAATAAACTAACAGGTGACAGACCCAGGCCTGGACGCCGAGGGCCACTGACACACCCCCTAAGGGTGAGGCTGAAGTCTTCAGGTCACCCGGCTACTTACGGACAAAAGCTCAGCTTCCGGCCTTTATTACGACCGCGGCGATTTCTTGCAGCAAAGGCCAAGCAAAACGCCGGGTCAACCTGACCCCGAGGGGCGTGGCCCAGCACGCCACTCCAAGGCGGGGCCTCAGGCCCCACGCGCAGCGCAGCCCACCGCGCCTGCGCGGCGATCCGCCCCAGGGAAGGATGTGTGTGTGTGTGTGGGGGGAAATCGTCGACTCACTTCCGCTTCCTCAGGCTCTAGCCCCACCCCCTGGAGGTTGGTGCCGGAAGTGACGCACAGCTCAAACGGCAACAACAGATTTCCACGTGCGCGTAAGGCGCCAAAGTCAGGTGGGCCGGCGGCAGCCAATGGGGGAGCGTTTCGTGTAGGTCTCTCTCGGGGCGGTCGCGCCAGCTCCAGACTCCCGCCAGTAGGGAGCGGGGCCGAGCGGCACGGAGGCAGGTCGGCCGCTGGAGGCGAGGTCGGAGCGCGAGCGGCGGGGTGAGGGAACCGGGAGCAGCCGGGAGCCGGGAGCGGGGCCGCCGCGGTGTGGAGAAGCTGCTGCGAGGCGCACGGGTGAGGATCGGGCTGGGCGGCGCGGAGACGGTCGGGCCCGCTTTGTGCACGGGCTCGGCCTGGGCGTCCTGCGGGCAGTGCAGCGCCGGGACCCCCGGGTGGCTGCGTCACCGCTTGCGCTTGCCGTGGGCTTGGGGTCCGCTTCCCCGAGGCCAGGCCGGCGCGGCCCGAACACGGACCCGGCGCCCCCGTGGAGCGGGCCGGGACGCCGGACCGGCCCTACTGCGGGGTCGAGGAGGGCGCTCCCATTGTGTGGACAGAGTCGCTTGAACGGGGGGAGTTAGGCCACCCAAACTTCTCCAGGGTCAGTGTGAAGCCCTGGAAGGCGCCTGGCTGTCAGTTGTAGACTCTTTGACGAGTGACCAACCGCGGTTTCTGAGCTCGCCGGGCAAGCTCCGCTTACGTTATTTTATTATTATTATTTTTAGACAGGGTAATCCTGGCTGTCCTGGAACTCACTGTTGTAGACCTCGCTGGCCTTGAACTCTAAAGTAATCCGACCGTCCCTGCCTCCCGAGTGCTGGGATTAAAGGCGTGTGCCACTATGCCTGGCTTCTGCTTGTGTCTTTAGATCAAGAGGTTGGACTTTATGGTTGGTACGCGTGACTGTGACTAATTCTCAGGAAAAAAGTAATCTACCTGCTAATTAGGCTCAGAATAAGCCACAGGAGAGGACGGCTGGCAGTTTCCACAAACCATAGTGCTTTTTCGTCAGCCTTGTTATGTCATCATAGGTTATTAAGGACTTCTGTGGTACAGCATTCAAAAAAGCAAACCAAAGAGGTATACTTCATCCCGAGTATTATGTATTACCAATAATTCTAAGTAAAACTGAATGTTTTAAAGAGAAACATTTTACTCGCTGAGAAATTTGGAAAACCTAATAACCTAGTTTATCCAAAGTACAAATTATTTCCTTCCTCTGGTAGCCTAGCCTTAGTAGAAGTCTTAAATTTTACTAATTTTCAGCTTTAAGCAGAAGTTATTTACACATATTTCTTAAGTAGTTGGGACCTTACATATATGAAAACTGATTGTTGGAACCCTTTTAAGAGCAAATAGATTTAACCAACTTGAGGAACATCTTTCCTTCCCTACATTTGCCTTTCTGCTAAGATTCTAGCCAAACACAAAGGAGACAGAAGTTTTCAATAGTCAGGTCGTATTCTGAAGCTGGATTTTGTGGTGTTAAAGATAACACTGAGGAAGCTGGAGTAGGAATATCAGGAGAAAAATATTCTGAAGAGTTAATATCTTTAACATCACAGGCAAACAACAGTTCATTACCAACATAAATAGTAGAAATCTTGCCTTCCTAAGAAAGTATCAATTTAGCTTTCTTTTCAACTGATAAGCAAAAGACTTGCTAATAGACTCTTAATATTAGAGATACTGACAGTACAATATCATGAGTATATGATACTGTGTGTATAACATTTTGATACTGCTGTGAGTCTATTATACCAAAGGCTTGTTGAGTTCAATTGCTTATTAGAAGTCTTAAGATGTGTTCCTTGTGTAAAAACATGTTTTTCTTTCTTTTTTAGGATATTAGAAATGGCTACTCCCCAGTCAGTTTTCGTCTTTGCAATTTGCATTTTAATGATAACAGAATTAATCCTAGCCTCAAAAAGCTACTATGATATCTTAGGTGTGCCAAAATCGGCTTCAGAGAGACAAATCAAGAAGGCCTTTCACAAATTAGCCATGAAGTACCACCCTGACAAAAATAAGAGCCCTGATGCTGAAGCAAAATTCAGAGAGATTGCAGAAGGTAAGTAAATGATTCTTCCTGCAGTCTCATGGGTATTTATAGTAAGGGCAATGGTAACTGACAATTTTGTGTCCTCTGAAAGATGGAGCTGAGATGAGAGAGTTTGTAATTATTTTGTTAGAATAGATACTTGGCTCCTGAGCAAGTAATGAATTATAGTAGGTAATTATGTTAGTTTACAATTCTAAAATTATTGGAAATACACCATTTCCCTTATTTATTTATTTATTTATAAAAATGGATATTAGTAGGCCAATTTTTCAGCATTTTTCTTTATTAAATTTTTTATTCATTTTACATAACAACCACAGATTCCCCCTCCCATCCCTCCTCACACTCCTCTCCAACCCCCTCCCATCCCCTCCTCCACAAAGGTAAGGCCTCCCATGGGGAATCAGTAAAACCTGGTATATTCAGTAGAAGCAAATCTAAGCCCCTCCCCCTGCATCAAGGCTATGCAAGGTTTCCCACCATAGGTAATGGACTCCAAAAAGCCAGCTCATGCACCAGGGATAGATCCTGATTTCACTGCCAGGGACCCCTTAAACAGACCAAGCTACACAACTGTCTTGGGAAGTAAAAATTTGTATTAAGTAACTTAAGAAACTTATTTTACTGAGTATTGACTTAATATAAACACAATAGTTTAAAGGTGTCTTCTTTACTTCATCTATATTTCAAACCAATGTGTCTTTAAAAAACTGAAGCATGTTTTGTCTTAACACTAGTTCTAAAACAAACTACGTCTTGCACATTACTTAAGTAGTTAATAGGCCTAACTAGGAGTTGGAATTAAACGTTCAACTAAGAACGTGAAAAACCTGATTTTCTATTAGTTGGATACATTTGATAATAATTCTTTAATAATACAAATCACAGTTTTGCACAAAAAATATGAAGATGAACAGATTAATTTTGCCAACATGTTTATCTGTGATGATAGCTTTTATTTGACAAATATAGCATATTAATTGAAGAAATAATTGAAAGATTGTTCTAACTACTGATATGAGTTGATAAAACAAAAGTCCCTGCCTTGTTTTACAATTTATATTTTACATTATTTTTTTTTTTTTTTTTTTTTTTTTAAAATTTATTTATTTATTATGCACACAGAGGAGGCTGCCAGGTCTCATTACAGATGGTTGTGAACCACCATGTGGGTGCTGGGAATTGAACTCAGGACCTCTGGAAGAGCAGTCGGTGCTCTTAACCTCTGAGCCATCTCTCCAGCCCTATATTTTACATTATTGTTACTTGTAATATTTTGTTTGTGATGTGAAATTCTTCCCTGAAATACATAGATTGAAATCATGTCTTTGAAGTTTACATATACATAATTTTGAATATTTTATCTTCAGTTGCTAAATGATTTTTATGTCTCTTTCAGCATATGAAACACTCTCAGATGCTCATAGGCGGAAAGAGTATGATACAGTTGGACACAGTGCTTTTACTAATGGCAAAGGACAACAAGGAGGTGGAAGTCCTTTTGAGCAATCTTTTAACTTCAATTTTGATGACTTATTTAAAGACTTTAATCTTTTTGGCCAGAACCAAAACACTCGGTCTAAGAAGCATTTTGAAAATCACTTCCAGACACGCCAGGATGGTTCCAATAGACAAAGGCATCATTTCCAAGAGTTTTCTTTTGGAGGTGGATTGTTTGATGACATGTTTGAAGATATGGAGAAAATGTTTTCTTTTAGTGGCTTTGATACCACCAATCGACACACAGTACAGACTGAAAATAGATTTCATGGATCTAGTAAGCACTGCAGGACTGTCACTCAACGAAGAGGAAATATGGTTACTACATACACTGATTGTTCAGGACAATAGTTGGTTCTCTTTGTTTCCACTAAGCCCACTTAGTTTATTCTTTCTCACTATGTCTGATGAAAAAACAGTTTTCTGTGAACTATTTTGACAAATGCATGACTTTACTTACATTAAGCAGTTGGTTATAGGTATTCCATATATTAAATATTTTTTTTGACAGATTCAATCACATTCAGCTAGTAGACAACTCTGATTATTAATTTTCCTGATTAGGAAAGGTTCTTTTAAAAGATCATTTGCAAGATTTTTTTTTTCTTTACCTATCCTTTGACTCACTAATTTGGCCACACCAAAAAAAAAAAAAAATTTGCAGGCAAAACTCAATTTGCCTGACACATACTTAAAGATTAAACTTTAAAAGTTACTATAGATATAAATTGTGTGAACTTGAATAATTTTTGCAGTGAACCTCTGCTAACTTAAAATAGCATGCCCTGTAGCACCTGTGACTTGGGTTACTAAACGTCTATGAAACTGTAATTGAGTCAGTCCGTGAAGGAGACAACAGGCTTTTGGCTAATTGCCACTGAATGCTTTAGAAAGTGGTGGTTTAATTATCACAAAAAGATGCCTCTTCTACAGTAGAATTGGTGTAACAGGAATGATTGTATTGCACGTAGTTAAGCTGAAAAAGTTTAAAACTTATGAAATATTGCCAAGAGATTGTGTTTGGTCCTGGGCTAATGATTTTGTATGATCAAAATCATAGCTACCTAAATATCTTTATTTTTCATTTCTTTCTGTTTGTTGACTTTCTAGGTCTTAATTGTGTTTGGGTTTTTTTTTTTTTTTGGGTGGGTGGGTGTGTGTGGGTGGGTGTGTGGTTTTTTTTCCTTCAGTGTGTGTGTAATTTCTCTGGCACTTATCTTTATCTAGAGATTGACTAATACCTCATTCTTTTTGTAAAAGCAGCCAGTAATTTCTGTGCAGCCTTATATGTGCAATATTTTTAAATCCTAAGAAATGTGTGCTTTTTTTTTGTTGTTAGAGTTATTTCTTTAGTTCTGCACTTTTCCATGTTATACTCCATATGAGTATTAATCCTATGGATGCATATGAAAACTAGTAATGTCTCATGCAATATTGTGTATGAGAGATATAAATATTTACAACCTGGTCTTCACTGTTGTCATTTTTATTATGCAGTTCGGGGTTATACAGTGTATAAAATGGGACATATACTGATTAAAGGTCATACTCTTGAAGTTTTGTCTAACCTGAAATCACCAAGATGATCTTATTTTATTGCCATTTGGTAGCTTCTGTTGTGTTACCATCTCATATTTCAGTAGCTTGAAGGTTTTGTTAACTAATTTTTATTTTCTTTTTGAGAGCAAGTGTTGTGTCACAAGGCCTCTCCTAATTAGGCCTGGTTGAGAAAAAGCAGAGACTGCATAAAACTGTAACTATCTTTGGGAATTACCCCTCCTCTCAACACACACTCTCTCTACCCCTCCACTCAAACACACAAATCTCTCTCGTCTTATCTCTCTTGCAGTACTTGAAATGATCCAAGGTATGTCAGGTACTCCTGTCATTAAGTACATTCCTAGCCCTCTGAGAATTCCTAGCCCTTTGAGAATTGTGGGTGTGTATGTGTGCATATAAATATGCAGGTGCATTTGCCTGTGCAGGCCAGAGGTTGATGTTTGGGTGTCCTCTATTGCTCTTCACCTAATTTATTTGCTTATTTATTTTTGAGGCAGGCCCTCTCACTGAGTCAAGTTTTCATTATTCCCTCGACTAGCTCTAGGTTTGACCTCTAGTCAAATCTCTAGGTTCCTTGTGTCCTCTGCCCCACCCACCTCCACACACACACACACAAAGTATTGGGATTACAGGTATAGGCCACTGTTCCTGGCTTTTTATGTTAGTACTGGGTATGTGAATTCAGATCCTCAAGCTTGCATTTTATCTGCTTTGCCATCTCACCAGCCCCACTTTAAGAATTTTTAAGAAAGTGGATTTATTTTATTCATGGATCTTATTTCCTAGAAGTTACATCTGTTATTTGGTAAAAAGAAAATAGTCATATCTTAAATGTTAGGCCAACAATCATAGCCTTTAAGAAAAATTAGTCAAAAATACCTAAAATATCTCATTTTCAAGTGAGTATTAACAAAGGATGAATTATTTTCATGTTATTAACATGTATATCTGCTTCTAACACCTGATTATCTTCATTCTTCCCATTGTGGATTCTGAATATTTATTTTGATCTCTTAAGAATTTATTGCTCTTTCTTGGGCATGGTAGTATGTACCTATAATCACAACCCTCCAGAAGCTGAGGCAATAGCATCCCAAATTTAAGGCCAGCCCATGCTATGCATGTAGACCCTGCCTTAAACACCAAAATGATTTGTGCATTCCTGAGATAATTCTAGTTTTTTGAAATGTTTGTTGAGTAAAAGAACTCACTAGGAGATTGAGATACTTATTAAGCAGAATAAAGACATTGGTAACAGTCACTATTCAGTATGTCTCAACATTTTTTAAATGTGTACAGGGTTATGTGGGATTTTTAAATTACATATATTTATGTGAGTACATGCCATAGCATATGTGTGTGTAGGTCAGAGGACAAATTGTCTTTTTACTGTGAGTACTAGAATTACCAGGAATTGAACTCGGGTCATCAGGCTTGGCAGCAGCCAAGCTAGTGTAGCTATCCTTATATCAGATAAAATTCAAACCAAAACTAATAATAAAAAAGGGCACTACATATTAATAAAAATTCATTAAGAAGATAAAATAATTATGCACCTAATGTTGGAGTCCCCAATTTCGTAAACAATAAAGTCATGAGGCCACAGAGGCTTTGACATAATAATAGTGGGGAAACTTAAAAACCCTATTTGAGATCTTCCAAACTAAGAGACAACTAAAATACGGAACAGATCAGAGGTTCTCAACTTTCCTAATGCTGCAACCTTTTAAGATAGTTCCTCATGTTGTGGTGACCCCAACCATAAAATTCTTTCATTGCTACTTCATAACTGGTTTTGCACTGTTAGGAATTGTAAGTATCTGATAACCTCTGTAAAAGGGTCGTTTGACCCTCAGGTTGAGAACCACTGGTACAGATCAATTGGACTTCACAGATAAAGAGTATTCCACTCAATAGATAAGGAATATTCATCTTTCTCAGCATCAATGGAACTTTCTTCAAAATTATGCCATAGAACACAAGTCTCAACAAACAAAAAAATGGAGATTTCCTGTGTCCTATCAGATCACAATGTAATAAAAATGGAAATTAATGTTAATTTTTGTAAGGACTGTGTTGGGAACTCTTGCTCTTTCCTACTTAAATAACAGAAGTAGCCTTTTCTTCAGGCCATGGAAGAAGCCACTGGGAGGAGAGAAATTATCCCTAAAACTCCCAATAGCAGTAGTGCAGTATGATAGAATAGTGAAGATGAGAAATGGCAGCAACTGTGTGGAAGAGCTTTGGCATGACAAGCATATCTGTGGGTGCCTACTGGCTGAGCCTGCTAAACTCACCAAAACTGTGGCTTCTATTCACCAAGGAGATTAATGCAAACTTATTACTACTAAGGAAACTGCTTTTCTCAGCTGTCTGCAGCTTGATGCCCTTTCATAGCACATTCAAGGTGTGTCAGATACCAGTAAGAATTACCAGTAACAACAACGAACTCCAATGAAATGTATAAGATTATAAAAAACTTTTTTCAGACTTTTGAATGAATTCTGTATCAGTAAACCAGATTTATTTAATTTTTGAACTTTTTAAAATTATAATTACACAATTTTCTCTTTCCTACTTCCGTTTCCATGCACCCCCTTGCTCTTTTCAAATTCATAGCCTCTATTATATATAGATATAATGTGTATAATATATAATATGTATAAAATATATATAATATACATACATGAGCACACATACACACACCTAAATATGTAAATACAATCTGCTTGGTCTATATAACTTGGATGTATATGATTTCTAGGATGAGCATTTGGTGTTGGATAACCAGTTTGGAGGATCCTCTCTGGGGAAGACTTTCACTCTCAGCATTCCTTAATTCCCTGTAGTTTGTGTAGGGTAGACCCCCCATGAGATTCCCCCTTCCCATGTTAGCATGTCTGTTGGTGGAATGCTTGTTTAGGTCTTGCTTAGGTGGCCATGTTTATACAACTTTATGGGTTTAGCTTTTCTGACATTTCTTGGAAACAAAACCTTACAGCAAACTTCTAGTTCTTCTGCCTCTTATAGTCTCTCCATTCCCTTTTTGGCTATGATTCCTTAACCTTTAGGTGCGGGAGTTATGTTGTAGATATATCTGTTGGGGCTGGGAATCACATGGTCACTGTTCTTTGCGTTTTGATCAGATGTAGTTTTAAATTATGGACTCTTATCTGTTGCAAGGAGACATTTCTTTGATGACCTATAGGTATCTGTGGGTATAAGGATAAATATTTAGAATGTAGTTAAGAATTATGTTGGTTCAATAAAGTGATTGTAGGTTCTCCAAGATCCATGACCTCATTAGCTCTGGTAGTTGCCTAGGTTTTGAGCACCATTTCCCTCTTGTAGAGAATGTCTTAAGTAAATTAGAGAGCTGGTCTCTGCTACTGTCAAGACCTAAACAAGCACTCCACCAATAGACATGCTAACATGGAAGTGGGGATCTCGTGGGGCCTCTACCCTACATATTATGCCATGCTATGCTCTCTGTTGTTTCAGTTTATAGGGATCAGAGCTAGGTAAGAGTTCTGGTCACTTCCCTCCTTTGGAAGCTTGCATGGTGCCTTCTGGTACTATGAAAGCTAGTTTTCAGAGAGGATGCTTTCAGAGCAGAACCAGCCCAGATCCTCTGGGTCTAGTCATGTACCATTTTTTAGCCTGCTTAGTATGGGATTCTTTCTATATGATGATATCAGATAATAATGAGGCAGTGTGAATCCACACAAAGTTTTTTTCTCAAATCAACCATAACCACAGAACATAGGAGATGGCAGACAGGCAAATACATGTTTTTCATCATGCTGGTCTACTCTGTCCTGCCATATCTTCCTTGTAACTTTAGTTTGAAATTTTTTTTTTCTTTGAGACAGGGTTTCTCTATGTAGCTTTGTGCCTTCCCTGGAACTTACTCTGTAGCCCATGCTGGCCTCAAACATTCGCCTGCCTCTGCCTCCCAAGTGCTGGGATTAAAGGCATGCGCCACCACTGCCCAATTTAGTTTGAAATTGTAAAGATTATTACCCTTAAGATAGTGAAAACTTCCACTAGTGTGGCCAGTCATCTCTGCATGTCCTCCCATCATGATCTCTCCTCTCTCTCATCAATTGGATTCCCGGAGTTCAGCCTCGTGCCTGGCCGTGGATCTCTGTATCTGCCTCCATCAGTCACTGGCTCTGTGATGACAGCTAGGTTTTTTGCTAGACCGGTCACCAGAGTAGACCAGTCCAGGCACCCTCTGGACCACTGTCAGCAGACCAAGGTGGGGTCAGGGGGATCAGGATCTGTCCCTGGTCTATGGGCAGGCTTCTGGAACCCAGTGCCTGTGGTGTGACACCTTGCACAGCCTTGGTGCAGTGGGAAGGGGCTTGGACCTGCCTAGGCTCAGTGTGCTGGGCTCTGCTGACTCCCCATGGGAGACCTTGATTTGGGGGATGTGGGGATGCAGGGTGGCTTGGGAAGGAGGGCTGGGGGGGGGGTGGGAGGAGAGGAGATCTGTGGATAGTATGTGGAGTGAGTAGAAAATTTCTTAATAAAGAAAAATGAAAAAAAAAAGTGAAAACTTAGTGAAGAAGGCATCTAAAAGAGAGAAGTTCAGTGTGGACATATATACTAAATTTCAGAGAAGATTGTGGGTAGAGATGTTTTTAGGATTTGGCGGGGAGTTGAGCTGGAGATAATGCATCCTGAATTGTACAAATACAGTAGATTAGCTTTGTAAAATACTACTGATGATCAGGTAGATACTGTCTTGAGAATGGACCCCCCCCCCCATTTTTCCTCTAGTAATACGGATAGCAAATTGACATTAGTCTCTCTCTAGTGTGGGTGTGCTTCACTGGAGCAGGTTTAAAACAGAATGGCCTGAATGGAGCTATTTGAAAAAACATCTCTAGTGAAGCCCTTCCTGA